AATATATATTTAGGTCAGCACCACAGCTCACTAGCCTAATCCTCCACCTGTGGCGCCTGCACACTGGGTTCTAGTCCTGGTCGGGGCGCCGGAATCTGTCCCATTTGCTCCTCTTCCAGTCCAGCTCTCTGCTGTGGCCAGGAGTGCAGTGGAGGATGGCCCAAGTACTTCAGCCCTGCACCCGCATGGGAGACCAGGAGAAGCACCTGGCTCCTGGCTTTGGATCAGCACGGTGCACTGGCTGCAGCATGCCAGCTGCAGCAGCCATTGGGGGGTGAACCAACAGAAGAACAAGACCTTTCTCTCTGTCTCTCTCTCTCACTGTCCACTCTGCCTGTCCAAAAAAATAAATAAAAATATAAAAAATTATTTATTTTGAAATTCACAGTTACAGAGAAAGAGGGTTCCATCCACTGGCTCATTCCCCAAATGACTACAATAAAAATTACAAGCAATCAAAGTTTCTCTCCATTGCACTATATTGAGAAATGCCATTTATTTAAAATATATATTTTATTCTCTTGGTTTAGTAACTTTAACAAATATTTCTTCCCAGATTTTGATATTAGAAAGGACCAATCTCTTCCAGTACAATAATGAGGAATTCTCATGATTTTTAGAATCTTATTCTAGTTTTATATTTGGAGACTCAATTATGATTCAGGGAGGTGAGTGAGATCTGGTAAGATATTGCTAGAAATGAAATTGATTAAGGCCTTCATATATGTTAAAAGTTAGTCTTAATTAGTAAATAAAAATTTTAGTTTAATGCACCCCTTTTCTAGTTGAATATGTCTATATTTATTCTTTTTTTTTTTTTTTTGACAGGCAGAGTGGACAGTGAGAGAGACAGAGAGAAAGGTCTTCCTTTGCCATTGGTTCACCCTCCAATGGCCGCCGCGGCCGGCACACTGCAGCCGGCGCACTGCACTGATCTGATGGCAGGAGCCAGGTACCTATCCTGGTCTCCCATGGGGTGCAGGGCCCAAGTACTTAGGACATCCTCCACTGCACTCCTGGGCCATAGCAGAGAGCTGTACTGGAAGAGGAGCAACTGGGACATAATCCAGCGCCCCGACCAGGACTAGAACCCCGTGTGCCAGCACCGCAAGGTGGAGGGTTAGCCTATTGAGCCACAGTGCCAGCTATATTTACTCTTGATATTACTTGCCCTTCTAGTTTATTTTGGTAGTCAGGGCAGTAGGAAAAAAC